AAAAAAAAAAAGCTACCTCACTCACAGTTGTCTTTGTTTCTGAAAATTGATTTCTTGAGTAGAGCTATGGAAGACTTATAAAAAGGATTGTTATGTCATGGTTTGTTTCCCCATTTATCATATGGGCTTGAAAGCAAAGGCAAGACCATAAATGAGCAGGAGTTAAGAGCAATCATCCTTTTAGAAAGCAGTACACCCAAGTATTGCATTTCTAATCGTCAATATTAACTACGGAGTCAATATTAACTAAGAAATCTTATTAATGAGTCCCTCTATCAGTAGAGCTATAAAATGCTTTCTACTGCATAGCGGGAGAGGGGTATACAGTTTTCTGAAAGTTTGCATGATTGGTAATGTAAGTTATAAAAGCCACTTGAATATTCAAGAATATCATAAATTAAAATTATAATAGTATGAGTTTATCTGGACAGATACATTGATCAATTAATCTGAAAAGTTAACTATTTTTTAAATAAAGTTAACAAGGACTATTGCAACAGCGGTGTTAATTCTGCTCAGATTAAAAACTCAGCTTCTGAAGGAGACTCTCAAAGGTAGAAAAATCTAGAAAAAAGTTTTGGGGTTTCTTTTGTAAGAGCCCATAGGACTGCTGCCACATGAAAGCCACAATGGACATAAATATTTAGATAACAGGTAAAACAGTTTTTGAATGCACCTTTAAAACAAGGAAAACACACTTTTCTACAGTAATTACACTAGTCGGGCATAGGTATTTGTATTATCAGAGTACAAGCATGCAAATCGTGCTCATTGCACTAACATTGAATTCTGATGCTCAGTTTAAAGCAAATTATGGGGGATTTGTCTTTGCATAGTGCTTAGCTATCTTAGGAAGTAAACACTGCCAGCCTCAAACCTTGCTTTTCTTCTAAAAGGCACTCATCTAGAAACTTACATGTAACATACTGCTTCTCTTGCTTTATTTAAATTATATCAATGCCCAAATTTGCTAAACTGGTTCATAATTACTTCTTTTGTACTAATGACCTCATTTCTTGGAAAGAAAGTAGTTCCTTTTCCCCTGATTTCTATAAAGCTATGTGAAAAGCAGGTAAAAATATATGCTTTGGCATAATTATTGCTGGGAGAGACAAATATCTATCTCATCACGTTCATCAGAGCAAGCTATACCATTGATATTCCACTGTAAAACAAAGAACTATTACATGTTGCACAAATATGCTCAATATTTTGTTAATGCTTCACCCTTCCTACTATAATACTGCTCTACCCGCACTTACTTCCTTATCAGCAAAATGTGATTTTCAAGAGTAATGTCCATACCTGGCTGACATATGATAGAAAGGCAATAAAGCCGTAGCTAGGTTCAAGCTGCAGCTGAATTTACGACACCATTTTGGATCCATACACATCACCTCCTGTCAGTACCTGCATCTCTCATTTTCAACCACTAGATGGTGTGAAAAAATAAAAAAATTGCCAAGGATTCCTGCCGACTGCCACAAAATACAAGTATTAATGTACTGGATCAGGAAATATTTTTTGAAGAAAAGTCTTGGCCCACTTCAGGACGGTTAGGTTCACTTTTCTTTTGGTTATATTTTCACTTACTAAAGCGCTTGTAAATTATCAGACCTTGAAACTGAATCAAGTGGAGAGTTAAGATGGATAATTCTCTGGCACTTTCCCCCTCCAAGGACCCTAAATTCAGAGCTGACAGTAGTAGCCAACACTCATTTTTCTGAAAAAGCTGTAACAATCTTTAAGGGAAACAGGGCTGAATTTTCTGAGCTGTATTTTGGAGTAGAAATCATTCCCAAAGAGAGAGGTCCTATATATCTGGGACAGCAGCAAGCCTCTTTCAAGGACCGATTATGGATTAATCATGGCATGACCACAAGACAGAAGACAGCTTAAACTACTGTTTTTCTATTCCACTCCATTTTTTAAATTACATTTCTCACTCTTTTGGGGAAGAAGTAGCAAATTATTTTTTCACCTACAAGCTGAAGATTTTATTATTCCCCATACTGTACCAGAAGAGCACAACCCACAAAGAGGCCGAACTCATACAGTGGAATCCGCTAGTTCATGGGCTTTTCTGGGGGAGGGAGAGGGGCGAGAGGTGGTTACTTTAAATTAGTACCATTCTCCAGTGCCTGCTTGCAAGTCTGCCCAATCCAAGAGTGTTATCTGGCCTTCAGTAATGCAATTCAGTTATTAGTTTAAGTGACAATGAAATACCTCAAAAGACATACATGGTCACATTACCATTAGTAATATATCTTCTATATTTTTTTATAGGACTATCTATCCATAAATCTTAAATTTATTTAAACAGAAGTTGTTACATTTATTATCCGGAAACATTGCAGTTAAAGGTATCACGGAAGATTTAAAGCAATTGTGACAAAACTGAAGAGTTTGAAACTAGGACAAACAGATGCCTTTAGCTTTCATGCACCTACTTGTATATTTCAATGACCTACAACATCCTGGGCATTAATTACACTGGACAGCAATTACATCTGAGATATATATTCTACATATATTTTAAAAGGTGTTTTTTTCAACGAGAACTTGAAAAGCTCAGCTTTTTTCTAATATGTGGGGAAAAGAGAAATTTCCTTTGATGAGTTGTTCACAAGTAGACTTCAATGGACCATGAGACACATATTTTAGGAGAGATTTTGTTTTTCTGGGGGGGGGGGAAAAGGAAAATTAAGAAAGTTAACCAACAAAGTAGAATAAAATGTCATGCTTATACTACTTATCATCACTTTAGATGAGAGGAATTATATTTCTCATTTGCTTTGCAAACAGGAAAGCAGTATATTAAAAATTGCCCAAATCTGTCAGAGCAAATAGATTTGGAATCTGAGCTGTCAGAACAATTACAATATACATATGAAGACGAAAGCACAGATTAAAAAAAAAAATCTGTAGCAAGATGCCCAAAAAGTCAGAATTAGCACAGCCAGGAATATAAAACAGGAAATAAAAAACATAACATACAAGATAATTTAAAATTCTACAAGGTTAACTTTTACAAGCAGAAAGCACATTGTCTCCAGTTGAATCAGTTAACAAATGGCAGCCAAGATTTAACAAGTAAATAAACATGCTTTTAAGTTAATTCCTGTTACAAGGCTATGTTTTAAGTGTGATTATAGTTCATTTGACAAAATAATTAATTGCAGTGAATATCTGATTGCAAACAAAGGACCTGAAAGGGAGTGCCAATTTCCCCCCCACAGAACTGTGGGAATGTGCCCTTCTGCCATGGCTCCCTTTTCACAACTACGTAGCCCCAGTAGCACGCCGTACCTTGCTGAGAATGTAGATAACGTCACCACGTTTAAATGTCAACTCATCAGGTACATCCCCTGTGCAGTCCCACAAACCTTGATAGAAATTGGCGTAATCGGTGTTTTTGCCATCTGCAAAGAAAACAGCATCGAATTACAAAAGGGTAAAGATTGCGGGACTAAAGTCACTCTTTAAATCTCCAGATACTACAAAGCAATTTATAAGCACACATTTCTTACTCCTCTTTTTAGAAACAGCTCCTTCATACCACAAAAGCAAGTGGAAAACAAGCTTAATGTGCGAACCCTTCACTGGCAAGTTGCTTCACTTAAAGACATGTAGCTACAGGTTTTCAAAGCATTTTCCAGCTGCAACTTAAAGAAGCTATTTTTCCTCTACTGTTCTATTTCCAGCAAGCTGTATTTGTATCTCAACTTGAAACTGATAAAATGGCTAGAATATAATTAATAATCAGCTGTGAAAGGAAGCCAAAGTAAGTATTTTGTGATATGCCTCCGCTCCCTCTCCTGTTCCAGTAAAACTAAATAACTTCTCTGAGAACTTTTGAGATAATCCTTGATAGTTCCTTCTGAAATACCGGAGAACTTGGAAACTGTTGCTGAAGCTGCATTTTAAAAATATTTGTGTCAGCTCCAGTTTAGGACATTAAGCTCTGGCTGAACATGCAACTACACTACAGTCATAAACTCATCCTTCTAACAGCATAAGCACAATGGATGTGCTGTGTTCAAGCTGCCATACAGACCATTAACTGATTGATTATTTAGCACTCTTTGCTCTGTAATACGGCAATAACACAGTAATAAATGCTTTGTCATACGCTTACAATACAGAGTACATCTATTGAAACACAGCGCTTACACACAGTTAAATACACTGGGTGCTTCTGTTACGCTGCAAACTATTTCCTGTTTTTAATTCCATGAGAATAGAGTGTGATGAGTTAATGCAAAAAGAATGTAAGCAATACCACTAGGATGACCAGTTACATTATGTATACACTAACCAGACAGAATGTATATGTACTAATAATTTACATCACTGGAAAGCTATCTTCTAATTCTGATAACATAAATATCACTGAACTAGCTGGATCATGGCTGTCATCTTAGTTTTGTTATATGATCCCTGAACAGCAGGCTTGCTGGTTAATCCAACATATACCAGTTACATTTGCATGTCGTTAGCACTCTGCACCATTATTAATAGTTTACAAATTAATCATGATTGGTTCACTTTATTACTGAAAAAATCCTTCTAAAATATCAAGTATCAAGCGAAAGAAAGTGTCACGCTATAAAAAAATACAGCAGTAGTCAACTTGTGTTTTTCCCTGTTTTGACAAATACTCAGATTTTAATTCTAATACGCCCTGTATGAGGAAGAAGAGCTTATTTTCTGTTTATCCACTTCAGTCTGTGTTCTGTGCTGTCTTGTTTTGACGGCAATACTGTCAGAAGGCTAAATATTCACAACCTTTAATTTAAAGCTGCTATGCAAGTTAGCCACCATTTCATTTCCGATACTGGTGATTCGTGGCTACCACTTGCTGTACAGCACTAGGGGGCGTTCTGGCCACCAGTGCACAAATCCTGCCCTCCTCACACCAAAAGCAGCAATAGACACACGTACATAAAAACTCCCAACCCTTCTGAAATAAGAGATTTGCCTGTTATAAAATGCGTTGACAGAATGATTTCAGGAGGAAGGCAGAGTCAGTTTGAAATGTTGCATGTCCAAATTTTGGCCCTTCCTATTTGTCAGCTCATTATTCACCAACTTAGCATTAGACAATTAGTAACACAGGTTAGAGTCAAATTAATTTGTGATCAATATGAAATCAGAATCTCTCCTCAGTCTTTCGATACTGCACTGATCATAGTTCCCAGCTCTCTCTCATAAAAGATAACGTAAGCTATTTCAGTATGTCCCACCTTTCAAATCTTTCAGCAGTTCTCTTCTTGACTTGGTTTAAAATACATTAAGCAGGACTTTCACTTCTTCAGAATTGCACTGAAATGAATAGTGACTTTTCACACTGATCTTTATCGCTTTGAGGTCCGTTCTTACCTTTACATGTCTGAAGTAACTCCGGTTAAAGTTAATGGGAGTTACATGGGGAACACGAGCAACAGAACAGATCCCATAGTGGGTGAGACACGTCTCTGCCCAGATGTTCATCATGAGCATTTAATTAAGCCTTAAAGTGGGAAAGCAACTCAACTAATAACACGGCAACACTGGAAAAGATGCATTTTCAAATAAGCTTATTGCAGCAGTGAAGATGTTGCCCAGAGAGTAACCACGGCTCTATGCACTCATTTGTGAATTCCACACAAGGCAGAGTTGTTTAAATCAGAAAGCCGCATTTCTCAGAAAAACATACACAGGTATATCAGGAGCACAGAAATTAAAAACAGGGAGAGAAAGTGCAAGTGCAAGTTTGTGAACAACTACACTGGTCTTCCAACAAGTGTTAATTTCAAATTTGAAATCCCCTCTCATACCCACCAGCACAAGTTTCTTCAAATTCTCTAAGTGCAACTACAAGTGCATAAAAGCCAATTGTAAATTTAACTTCAGAATCTATACATCTAAAGGGCAAAATGCTTCATAAAATGATTCATAGTGCCTCACAAACACAGAGGTAGAGCAAAAAAAAGCTGCAAAAACCTCTGCAAAACACAAGCCCATTCTTTCTTACTCCAGCCCCTCTTTCAGTTGGAGAGGACCCTGCCAAATTTAATTTTATTGCTTCTGAAGAACGGAATAAAACAAAACCAGGAGACCTGGGTAAAGGAATTTGGTATTTATCTAGTAGTGAAATTATGTGGAGCTTCTTACACACACATAATACCTGAAAACAGCTGTTGGATTTAGCATCAAGAGCTTATGTGCCCATTAGAGTTCAAATTCAAAACGTATTGATTTGCTGGCATTACTCTGTCACAATTACACTCTATTATGCGCTGTGATATGTTGTGTGCCTTAAAAATACTATGATGACATAATTGTTAAACTAAAGCCTGTCGTATTTCAAAGGATTGGTCACTTAGGCCACAAATAGGAATAAAACACAATAAAAAAATAAAAAATGAAATGTGTAGCAGAGGGTAGAAAGCTGTTTGGTTTTATCCACTCACTGCTTTTAATATTGCCAATCACAATAAATGTCTGAGCAGGATTTTGGATAGGTTGTTTCTCCGGGAAATACTTTTTTCATTCCAGGACAGCTATCTAGATGAACAACTCCCCAAAAGTTTCCAAAACTCTTCCATTAAGAAGTCCTCATGGTTTTCTTCTGCCATCTCTATTTTTCCAGTAACAGTAATAGGAACAACAGATATTTTTGTCCAATATAAAAACTCTTCAGAGTTTATTTGACAGATCAAACAGCAGCAGCTGCCAGCCTTCCTGATGGTAGTCTCAGATTGCTTATTTCACTGAAAAATACTGGCACCTTTCAATACATCCTTGAAGAAAGGTAACAGTTCAGGTAAAAAAAAAAAAAAAAATCTGACAAGTATATCACTCAAGCATGCACTTCAAATATTGAAGACTTTTTAAAACTTAAGAATGCCCATGGATTACTCAAGGGGAAAAAATTATAAGAATATTCTAACAGCCTCAATAGACAGAAAAAAACAAAACCTGGAAAAACAGATTAAGAGTACATACTTCAGAGGGATTTAAGTGTGCTGTCCCATTGCAGCCTAAGCCAACCTAACTGCAGGCTGTTCCATTCCTGCCCCTACCTTGTGACAATTTGGCACTTGCCATTTGTGAGCACACACCTGACAGAACACTACATCTACTAAAACAAAAAAAAAGAATTACAACCCAAGTATGGAAATGCACTACTTGAAACATTAGAATAAATGTGACTGTGCCTGATATCCACCAACCTTCCATTTTAACATTGATGGCATCTAAGTTGGCAAAACCTGCTACTGTGGTGACTTAGAGCTACTAGTTATGTTATGTGCATACACATTGCTTGTGGAATAAAGAAACACATGTGTATGTTTTCCTTTCGCCACCGTGGTCCACTGCCCAGTATATTAAACAGCTTGCCATTCTGATTCACATTCCTTGATTCTTGATCAGATTCTTCAAAAGTTTATAGCTTCAGATCTGAGGATCACCAGTCTAGGCTAGTGATAGAGGTAAACTGTGTCCCCTTTTGGTGATGATGTGCTCAATAGTTATCATACTGAAAGCTTAAAGATGGAGAGACAGGTGAAGTTCAAAATTAACACTACCAGAATGACTTTTATCTTACACGAGTGATTTAGACTCTCAGTGTCAATGAGTCTAAATGCTCAGATGAGACATACCCTGTCAAAGACCAAAGTTACCTGTTCTGAAGATGTCCTAAACTGCAAAGAATGCCTGTTATTTACTTAATTGCCCTTTTTCCCACATGCCAGAAAAATTATGAAATAAGGGCAAAATAATTGCAGTGTATTTGTTTGCGCTCAACCCCTAACCTAGCCCAATCTGTCAAGTATAATCTTTCTCACTTCCCTTCTCCTACTGTTTCTTAGTTACTCTAAAATCAAGGTATTTACACTGAGACAGCACAGAACATGAGACTTACTGAAACAGTGACTGTGGAAATGATAATGGGTAGATAGTCGTAGCAAAATAAACCCAGCAAGCTATACTATATAACTGAAACGCTTCAATGCTTTGGTATTTTTAAATAATTAGGTCACTAGCAATTAATGTAAAGCTATCCAGCAGCAACAGTCAGCATCAAGACTGAAGGAATAAAAAAAACCTCAAGACTGCACATTAATCGAAGTAGAGGTACATTAGGGCAAGAAAATAGCAGGAAAAAAATCTTTTTTTGCACTTATCAGTCTGAGCTCACAGACCATTTTCAGAATATTCTCTGTGAAACTCAGGTTTGGTGAAGCTAGGCAATATATTAAATTTAAGAATGTATGTGCTGTTTGTGTGGAAAATCATGAAATATTCTTGAGTCAGGTTAGATATTTATGGTGTGATGCCTATCAGAAATACTCATGTCAACTCAGCCCTAAAAGTCAAACAAATTTCCAGGGTTAAATAGTTAACTAAGATCGGATTGGAAAATTATTGCTTGAAATTAATCTGGTATCTGGGGAGAACTGTTATGGTATTTTCAAGGACATTACACAAATACTAGTAAGACTGCTAAGGCTGTTCTCATAGCAGCTGACTTTTCAGAAATTAAGGTGCTTGGGTTTTGATTTCCTAAAAGTATGACCATTTAGAACTTCTAGAAGATACATTAGTGAAAAAAAAGTGCTGTTGGCAACTTTATAATTGGATTGACCCCATGCTCCATTATGACAACACACTCTTATAATTATGGTAGTGTCTAAATGAGTACTAAATACTAAGGCTGTAATGAGTTGTGTTGTTTTACACATGTTTTTAGCAGAGCACAATGCTAACAGCATCTGATGACTTGTCTCTTGTTTCCTTTCCAAGAAAAGCAACCCGCAACTCCTCGCAGCAACCTGTTCCTGCTTTCCTGTACGGGTCAGGAAATCAGGCCTCTGCTTCCTCCCCACATGTTGCAACAGGAAGAGCACTGCAGAGCTACTTCCTAAAGGAACTCTTCTTGCCCACCCTTTCCTTGACAGCCCTGAAAGAATTATGTGTATTATGTATGATGGGGGAAGGAGAGCCAGATTGCGTGTCAGTGCAGGTCACAGTTGCAATGCAGCAGATCTCAAAAAGGTGTAAGGTCTGATAAGAAGCAAGTCTTCCCTGCTTGCTGTGTCAAATCACCAACAGTTTATCTAAAGGTCTGTGCCCTTGAAGCACATACATATCTTGTTTTTAAGCATAACTGGAAATACCTTTCTGTCAAGAAAAGTTGTCTAGCCACATGACTTTACATGGCGTATGCAGTTATTTTTCCAGTCGCAGAGATAATTAGCACAAGGGCAGTTTGCCAAGCTGAAGCTGAGAGAATATCCTTCACAGCTTTTCTGGGCATTTGTGTCCTTTTCCAATTTTTATGCTGCTGTCACTGGACTCTGGCATTTCTTACCCAATTCATTTGCTTTCTGTGGTAATCATATGCAATGAAGATATGCATGGCCAACATTTAAACAGGCTGCAGATCAATTAGTGGTCTTAAGTTTATCTGATTTTTATCAAAGAAGACAGAGCTTTGGGTCGATTGTCAGAGCCTGTGTCAAGTTGACCTTTTCAGAGACGTCTACATTGCCAGTCCCTTGGGCAACTTGTTGTCCCCTGTTAGTCTCTGAATGGCAGAAGTCTGTTCTGCTGAAGCACAAAGTATACACAGATGTCTATATTACATTCTTATAGGTTTGACAGCAACTGCATGTTGTATCTATAAACTGTCCTTTAGCAGTGACACTTCCTCAATGATGATAAGCTAATTTATGCAACTAAATCTCCTTTGTGCAGAAATGAAAGCTAATTGAGTCATTACAAAGTAATTCAGGAAGGAATACCTTGTATAAATTGGCTTACTTTATAAATCCTTCTCAAGTGGTTTTCATGCATCCTAAGTGGTGCTAAGCAGCTTTGCTACCATCAAATACCCAGGTGAAAAAGACAGCTTTACAGAGCTATAAAAACATTATTTCAAAACAGCAAAGTGAAGAGACAAGAAAATAAAGTTAAAAAGAAAGCACATACACAAAATAGAGAGGAAAGATTTTGATTACCTGAAATGGTGGGAACTTTCTCCTGGCTCAGTTTTCTTGGCGCTTCAGCCTTTGAAGGAACACGTTCTTCTGCAAAACACATAACTGCAAATGAAACTCTGAAGGGACACCTCAGCTGACAGGAATTACAGCCCACATCAGTCTGAAAGCCACACTCTACATTTCCACGTCGTAATCCCTGTTTACTATTTTGCATTTACACAGAAGTTGGAACGTTGTTATTTCAAAGCTTTCTCTTAATTTCTCAGTTGTGAACATCTGTTTCCCTTTTCTCTCTGCTCTGAATGCAGTAACCCAGAGCTGCACTTTTGCTGTTTTTCAGTCATTCCAAGACCATTAGAATGAGGGTCCTATTCTGCTAAGTACATTACTTGCCAGGATAAAGAAAAGGAAACTGAGGATTGAAAAAGTATCCCCAGCCCGTGCAAGATCTCAGAAGTTCTCAGGAGGAGTATGCATAGCAGGCAGAGGACATCTTACTTTCAACACGGTCAGACAGGCACACTAGCTGGACACCTGCATGATGGGAGCACAGCCACCACAGATGCCAAGCACTCCGTGCTCCTGCCCACTGCACCTGACCACAGTTTAAGCAAGCCAGACTGTATCAAATAACTTAGTGCAAGTTTAGCAGACAAGAAAAGAGAAAGCCTGGCGATCATCAGCTTTGAAGCATGTTTTTTGGCTAGCAGGCTTGGAAAACTCTGGAATCTCCACAGGCAATTTCAAAAGATGGGCTCCATAGTCCTTGTCTGGCACAGACAGGGAACTCTCTCATGCCCACACCCTCGCTTAAGTAAATCTCCACTCCACTCGGGACAGGGACATAAGGTCTGCTCCTCACATTTCACAGTCAACATTCTGGTCATGAGGCAAAAAAGGGAACGAGCTATGAGGGTTTTTAGCTGTATTTCTTCTTTAGGTTCATAAGGAAGTAGAAAGATTTATCTTGGCCTTTACAGTATCAAAACTGACAAAGCTGCTGTGCCGGATGAGGAAATAGTATATTGATAAAACCACTTCTCAAACAAGAACTGGACTTTTAATACATTTAAACTATTTGGCTTTGCTACTCATCACATCTTATACAGATATTCATGCTTCTTTTTAAGGCACACATTTCAGCAACTAATTTTGATATTTTATTAAAGACATACAACAGATACAGAACTCATAGCTTTTAAAATGTTCCTTATTGTGCAAGTTTTATGTAATTGCCTATCTACTTTGACAAAGAGTGAATTTTACATCAACAGTTCAAAGGATTTTTAGCCTTGTAAAAATTTAATCTATCCACAAGACTGTTCCTGCAAACATTAAAGCAGATGTTTAAAGCACAAGAGCAGACCTGTTGAAATGAGTAGGCACAATTGCGCTAACCTCTATATGCGGTTCTACAAATATTCCAATTACATCATAAGATTCACTCTACAAAGAGCATTGAACTTCTGCTCCCCTAAGCCAGCAAGAGTTTTTTTTGCTGCCTGACTCTTGACTAGCTAAAAATCTGATCGAGATTAATATAAACTGTTATTTGAGCCAAGTAAAAAAACAATAGAACGGGGAAAATCTGAAGCTGTGGTACAACAGAAAACACTCCAAATTATTTCTTGTATACAAATGTATCCCCCCACTTGGCATAACACTTGTTGCACATTTCCAAGCACACTCATCCTTTTATTTTAAGCACTCACAACTGGAGCATAACTGGTAAAAATACATCCCTGTGTGCTGTCTGGAGCACTAGGAGGCACTGGCATTCTGCGGCTTCCCTACCACAGTTACACCACTCGCAGGTAGTATTATCGCATTGTCAGACTCATTTTCTAGGATTGCTCCCTTTTCCCAGAACAACCCAGTTTCATCCAACACACAGAGTATTATACGCTGATTAAATAAATGTTGATACTACATATTACTGAATGTTTGGACCTGCGTCAATTGTTGTGTTGAATATACTGTGGATTTTACTCTTATCCCTGTCATGGTCATGAGACTAGCTTAAACTGAGGACTGACTTTAGTAGAGGGTGTTTCAACTGAAATAAAACAGCAGAGGAGGTTTGAAGAGATTTTTTTCATAAGGTTCAGTTGAACACATGTAGATTGTATTGTGGTTGCATGGAAAAATTTAGAACATATGCATTCCCCTTCCTGAAAAACGTATTTCCTAGAAACAGGAGTTCACCAGATCCATATCTGAAGATGAGAAAATGTCTGAACCAAGACTCTTTGAATATTGAAAATGTTCCAAATTCAGACAAAGGCTGTCCATACTAGCACACTGGTTTGGATCTCAACCATCCCCACTTATCGCACTTTGCTTTACACAACAGACTTGTCACAGAGAGGACAAACTTTCAGGTGCAATTAGACTGGAAGAGGCACTCCAGAAGCACACTGAATATGGTCCAGCTGCTAACAGCCATTCAGTCCATGGAACCAGACTAAAGTGACTCCATAGGAAACCTCTTCTGAAACATGCACAGTGTGAGCATCAGGTCCTCAGCACAAACTTCTGCTTTATGCATCCTTTGCAAATGGTCCACACGACTTGCTAATGCAATCATGCTCACAGTGGAGCATATGTAACAGGCTTGGCTTAGGGTAAAAAAGAACCTATGGTTCTTACTGCTAGTATGCCCTGAAGCAGTAACTATGTGCAGGAGATGTCCTTTAAACACAGTAACCTCAATTAGCCCAGGAATTACGGCTGTAGTCAGATGCAACATAGTAAAGTCAGTGTTGCGACACGGAATAGAGTCAAAAGATTAAAAATTAAAATTAAAAAAATACAGTAGAGTTTCTTCTGTATTATTAATATACTGTTTAAGAGGAGTCATACAGACCTTCAAAATAATCTGGTACAATGTTTCCTCTGTATCTCTTCTTCACCCCATCACTAGCACTGCAGTGAGAAAATACTCCTCTCCACCTTCTCACTATGTCAAAATGAGACTAATCAACAGTAATCAAACCAGTGAACTCTTCCATAGCTGTACATCCAGACAACCCTTGAGACACAGGTTATCTTCCATACTCCGCTGGTACTCAGAGACTCTAATAGCAAACAACCTACAAAATTCTTGTGGTGAAAACGCAACAATGAGCTAACTGTATTTGTTCAGGATTTTTTCAGTTAGTCCATTAAAACTGCTGAAAATAATTTACTTATTTAATTTGCAGTCTGAAGAAAAAAAAGAAGAATCACCCAATCATAGCTGTTTCTACTATCCACACAATTAAAAAAGTTAACAATGAATTCTACACTAGCTGAGTTTTTTACATGAATCCATTGATTTTTTTTTTCTTCCAATTTCCGTTTCTTAAAGGAAAAGGGGGGAAAAAAAACAGACTACTTGAGTATAAAATGAGTAAGAGTTTGACTTGAACAGTGCATTCCTTCAATGGAATGTGGTAGCTCCATGATAAATATGCATAAACTTAGCAGTTTCCTCTACTAACACATTACTTAGCCATCTTTTTACATTAGACTCTAATTCAATGTCATTATTAATTGGTATTCTACTGTCTTCTAGTCTCTGGCACATTGTCATTACACAATACTAGTTTATACCTTGGATAATCCCAGTCTATGGGTTAATATATTCTATTCAACACTTTAATAACAGTAAACAAAACCAGCTCAGCTATGCAGCAAAATCTACCAAACCACACAGATGGTTATAAGGTTTTCATTGTGTGGTTTCCATAGCAATCATATTGCAAATCTGGAAGCTTCTTGCAAATAAGCAGCTTGTATTTACATGCCTCTCAGCTGCAGCATGGAACTCTATGACATGTGAAGTTGTTATTCCAGTCACATATTGTTAGAAAAATCATTGGAAGATGTTTTGATCAGTTCAGATGAAAACTACTGCAGTGAACTAATTTTTCATGTATTTCATAATGATACAAGCAATCACACGCTTATAATGCACATTAATACACCTTCATCTGAAATCTCACTGTGGTGTCATAAGGTTATAAGTGTACAAACAGGTCTTGTAAGACAGACCCCACAAAAATACATGTATTATTAAATAACGGATGGGAAAAATAAAAATCGCAGCGTCTTTACTATTGTACTCAGCAGGGATGACAGATGCATGCAAACAAAAAGGTATGTACATGAAGAACTCTGCTGACACTGAACATCATGAGTCTATAATGCTTTGTGCAAGAAAAAGTGAAAGACACAATGGCTATTACCCCTCCACACCTCTAGTCAAGACCTTTTCTCTCCCAGATTTATAATTTTATGACTTGACCTAACCCCATAACAGATGTTATTACTCTAATAAGGAACATAAATCAATCCAGCTATGTAATTTTTTAAAAACTTAGCGAGAACTGACTTTTTTTTTAAAACAAGATTATTTGTTTAGTGAAACATTTAAGAATTTCAAAGAAAGAGCAATAAACATGCAAAATATAAGAATAAAATCGTTTTTATAATTTGGCCAAACTGACACCTTCTGCTAGCGTTAGTAGTGATGGTTAGAGACCATCTGGGGTCAAAGGAATAAGAGTTACCATCCTGTTCTATGCAGGGCCAGCAAGCTGCCTTACCTGAGGACAGTGCTCCTCAGCCTCCAGGAAGAGGTCCTCTGCAGCATTCTCACTACATACACACCTGTACATGCCTATACACTTAATCAAAACTCTTACAGGGTTTTAGCCTAAGTAGCTTGATATCCCAGAAATCCTCCATGTGTTGTTTGATCCTAGGCTTATTTGCCTTGGTGTGTGTATTTATAATGGTAGGGTTTTTCCTTTCTGGTGTCTTCTTTCAGACTCCAGATCCACCTGTTCTGTAGGGAGAGATCTCCAAATTCAAGTAGCAAAAACTCGAGCTTTGATAATCCTCCAATATTCCCACAGATCTGTCCCTTTCCCCCAGCTCCTCCTGGATGTGACAGATTACTGCAAGATTTACACACAACTTCTTGACATTTCACCCTGCATTCCCAGTAGCACTCTGGTGCACTCTGTAAACAAATGGCACAGCTTGGACAAGGCTGATGAAGGTGCTATTCTCTAGCCATGGTGTGAGGTCTGGGGAGCAGCAGAGAGGGGGAGACAGACTATTGTTTTATTAAAGCTCCATCTGACTGTACCAGCGTGCATGGTTTGGGGATGAAAATGCCCCCAGGACAGTGACAGAAGTGGGAAACAAGCTGGCTGCTATTCAGAGAAAAGATCATAAACATAAGAATTTCTTACCATGACAGAAGAGAGGACAATTCTTATTTTACTGCTACTTCTGTGGGTCAGCTAGTTACCACCCAACAGCTCAGACAGAGAAGTTATATTCCTGCATGACAAGCTTGAGTGAAAAAAACCTACTTCCACAACACAAGCAGAGGAAACAGATACAGAAATGGGTCACCCAGACACAGGCTAAATACTGGGATTGCAGATGAGATGACATCAGAATATGAGCAGAAGCAGAAGTTGCATCTGAATAAAAGGTCACCACTGTGCTCAGAAATACGATGGGAAACAGACAAGGCAGAACTGTATTCCAACAGAATACAGAAGGAGATCTCCAGATTATGAAAAATATAAAAATACATTTTAATGAAAAATATTATGCACACTGAAATACTTTAGTTTTAGCTGAGGACAACCCATGCAATTCCTAGCCCCAACTCCTTCCAACACATATGATCCAAGTCTGATTCGAAGATGGAAGCAAAAGGTTTCTTTCAAATGTACCACCAGCTAAACTGGATAGGACCTTCAACTAACACTTTTTGAGCAAGTTTTACTCAGCTCTTTGGAAAAAAAAATTATTTAAATTCTAGAGTAAGGAAGGTTGAGTATACGCACCGCTCTGTCCAACCAGTAGACAGTACCAGAAGTGTGTTACTGCTATTGACAATGTACTGACCTCCCAATGGCCTCGAATAAATAGCATTGGCTGTACAAAGTGAGAAAGCTAGAATCATGAAATATGTTGGGATAGAAGGGACCACCTGAAATTGCTTAGTCTAACACCCTGCTCTAACTCTGAAAGTTAGATCAAGTTTCTAGGAAACAGCATTTGGCTTCTTTTGGTACTCCATACTAAGCTATTCAGGACCAGTTTATAAGGGTCTGTGCATTTTAATAGTTCACGTATGAGACAGCTGAAGCTAATGACTTTATAGAACAGGATTAGCTCAAATGACTCCGTTTTGTCCAGACCTTGCCAAGTCTCCAGATGTGAGGTTTCCTGACTTCCTTGAGAAATCCTGCACAATTTTTTTCCCCTCAGTTGTACTCCTTGTATCTTGAAAAGGTGCTACTGTGCACCACCGTTACTGCCAACTGCGTAAGCAGTCTGAATAAGCAAAGTAACCATCCCCGCTGAAAGTGAAGCACTGCCTCCTATTGAGAAGACCTTGGAAAAGTTACCTCATCATCCTCACAGAAAGGTTAGTAGATTTTGTTACAAATTATTTCAGGATCAATGCTGCAGGAAGCAGGTGAGAAGGAGAGAAAGTGATATTTGAGTCCTGGAATGTCACTTACCCATTTTCTGGAGAAAAAATAATTCTTTCTTGTAACAACCTTCCTGTGACACCACTCAGTGAATCTAAGCATATGTTATGGTTTGGCTTAATCAAAACCAAAAAGCAGATATAACATTCCCTTCCTAACAAAAGCATTTTGGAGTTACAGCATTTACTAAACTAAAGAGTGAAGTAAACCAAAAAAATCCCAGTCCCACGAGGGACAAATACAAAACACACTTAAAGGCTGCAATTCTCTGGTCTTGTGCAGAAGAATGTTGTTTGGATCATATAACTATTGCTATGAAGAATAATAACAGAGTGAAGTAGTACAGAAAAATGAGTAAGTTTGGAGAACTGTTTGCGAAAAAAATCTCTTTCTAAATATATCTGTGAAAAAGACACTGCATTTCTCCCATGTTATTGCATGCATACACATCCACATGAACTACACTAGGGCAATGGATTAAAAAACCATGTTTTTAAAAGCAGGAAGATACTATATAACTTCTCACTGGTTTACTACAAAAAACAAGCAACAAAATGTTTTTCTAGCAGAGGTATTTTTCGTAATATTTCAGGGTAGAAAGTGTGATGACTAAGTGATCAAAGAACACATCTCTGTCCTTGGAGGAATAACAGTTACTCTCACACAAGGCAGAAAACTGAGCATCACTGGCAAGGTCATCCACAGTTGTGGCAAAGTGGATTTTCTCACTCTACTGTGCATAATTTCACCAGGTTTTCAAGAAATGTAGGAGTATGCTTTGCTTTACTTACCTTCTCTACTTGTTGAGACCTCAATATGTCAGCACCTTTCTTCTTTCTTTTTCTTTCCTTTCCCCAGTACCGAGTGCCCCAGTACCCTTGCTTCTCTGCTCTTGTCCCATTCTGTAGTCACGACCAATTCATATAAAGACTGTATCCTCTTCAGACCCCACAAATTTTATTCCTTTACCAAACACAGAGGTTGTTAGAATGAAAGCTGCTGTTTCCAGGGCTTCACAAGGCCCTCCAGGCTTTAAAAGCCAAGTATCACAACGGGAGGAAAAACATGCTTAGTCACCTGAATGACAGAATGGAATATATTCATTAGGACAACTGAACAATTCACAGAGGCATTGATAATTCCTGGTTCTAGGTATGAATATGCCAAGATTTCATGACCTCAGCTTCTTGCTTGGAGCTCTCTTTGCAAATATGCAATCTTGTCATGTTTTGAGTGACAGCTGAATCAACTTAATTGTGCAGTTGCTAGCGCTAGTCTCCCAAACAACAAATAATCTAAAAGCTCCAACAAATAATTTTAAAAAGCAACAACTTTACATTCTCTACATTCTCTTCTTTTCTTAGACAAACATAGATGCAAAAGAATTAACAGTTTGTCAATTTCAGGTTAAAGGAGGAAGAAAATTAGCTAGTCTGACAGGATTAGGAAGAATAGAAGCATGTAAAATCTTAGTTACAACAATAGCAAACTTGGGAGGAGAAGAGGCAGGAAAAGCAGGAGTAGATACCAGGAAAGACCATTTACAATGTCTAATTTTGGAACACTAAAATTTCTTTGACAAAATGAACTAATTATTATTAATAAAATTCAATACAAATATGCCAAAGTGCAATGTGCACTGCATAGAAATAAGGAATGGGTTTTGCACTGACCTTTTTATTTCCTCATGAAGAAAGACCTGATAATAGTAATTCTTCTCAAGAGAAAAGATAAAGGTCATCACAAGCAAGTTCAATCGTGGATATGCACACAATAATTATAATGAATAAAAGAAATTACAGAGAGATCCACTTCCAGAAACTCATTCATTCTTTTCCCATTTTTATATTCATCGACACTTTGTATCTACAAAGTCGCTATTTCAGGGATGTGTTTTCAGAAATCAAGTCTCTCAGAACTGTCTAATCGTATATGCTGAGTGAACTGGTCAGAACATATTAAACTTAAAAAACAACCAAAAAATTATTTGATGGGCCATCAAACAAGGTGAAAATTTCAGAATTGACTTCAGAATCCAGCGCCTTACAAATTCCTTAAGTTTGACTAGGCACTTTTTAAAATGCTACATTTTATTGATCAAGATATTAGATAACAACTTTCACATCTGAACAGAAGCAGCTCTAAAGGTAAAGTTTCATGTTAGCTTCCAACAAAAGCACAATTTTGGCTCCACTTTTTAAAATGTTCCTAAAGTCTCAATTTTGGCATAAAAATCGAGGCAATAGGCATCTTACCTAAATCCATACTTAAACATTTAAAGGAGGAATGAAATATTTTAAGACACTGCCCTCAACAGGCCTCAACAATGTGAAGGAAAGCTTCTGGAGTTTAATGTTTCTACATGCTCAAGAAATTATTTAGCTGATTAACAAAAAATGCTCCCTCCTCTGTCCCCCCTCACCCTCCCAAAAAAGTAGTTGCAGTTACTGGACAGAACGCAAATTAGTAGCTCAAAGGGAGAAAACAAACAACAATTTTGAAGTTGATTCCGTGATTGTATTGTCAGTTCACAGGAGTTTGTGCTGGAGATTGCTTGCCCAAATACGTGTGGCATACACATAAGTACATTCTTATATATAAACATAATAAAGATTTATGTGAAATCACTGTAACTAAAATAAATTTGTTTGTTCTCTCAACCCATAATAGCTCTTAGTTATGTAAATAGTTTGTGTTCCACATGACACTTTATAAACCTTATTATTAAAATGTTCTGCTAAAATAAATGTGGTGGCTATTAAAATCTACATAGAAAATATAAATAGTTCTCTATGTAAATACATCTAGCAATCAAATATTCAATTAACTAATTTATACTGTATAACTGTACTACAGTGTTATTTGACAACCATGTACAAGGGTTATATTTCTCAGGCTTAAACGATACACAGAAAAAAAGTCTGTAAATGTCAAGTAAAGTTTCCCATACTCATTGATCAGCAGCAAGATTTAAATTTAAAAGCCATTTCTGAAAACTATATATCCCTAACTGTGACAAATGTGACTTGACATAATATTTACATATATAGAATTCA